AGGCACCCTATAAAAGGGATTTTTTGCTCCTTGAAAAAATAGCTCAGGAGTAAAATTGCCCCACTTATCAGTATAGGAGTAAAATTGCTTTTCAAAAAAAAGTTTAAGAGTAAAATTATATCTTAACCCAAGAAATAATTATTCTTCTCTTAATTCTTTTGAGTGTTGGAAACAAAAATTCTTACACCCCAATTTATAAAAACACATTCCCTAGTACCATCTCCATTAATTAACACCTTCACATCTTTCACTCACAACAAACCAAGATAAGTCCGTGCCTACTGTGTTCAAGATCTACAATTGTAAATATCAACAATTTAGACGCATCTTTAGTATGATCATAACCAACTTTTATTCAAGGATATCCTCCTACATAACTGTCAATGCCTAATAATAAAAAAGCTCATTCTTTAAATATATGTCAATTTACATTAGGGAGAATAATAGATAGGTCTCAAGTGGACCAATTAATTCAAAGTTCTAAAGTGTTAAACTCTAGAAATTTGCAAGTTCGATTCTTAACTTTATAATTTTATTGCGATGAATTTGCAACTTGTGTTTGAAATTTTAATAGGGGAAGCAAATTTATTTATTCTTCAATCATATTAAAATTTGAAAAATAAGTGATAAATTCATCGCAATAAATTGCAAAATTGAGAGGTGAAGAACTAAATAAGTAGCGCACGGCCAATTTTAAAAATAAACCAAACATGAAACGCGTCTAATTTCAAAGGAGAGGAAGGATATAAAACAAGAGCAGCAACAGAGGAAGGCTTTGGGGCTGCTAGGGCTAACTCCTAACATCATCTTGGAGGCACTTTGAGCTTGCTACATCTTGGGTAAGCTTTGTTCACATCTCCCTCTCCATTTTTGTACACTTTTCTAACTTCTTGAGGCAATAGAGGTTGTGATGTTAGTTTCTTTAGGTTTAAACCAAGCCTATTGACTTAGTTAAGATCTTGGAGAGTTGAATCAAGCCTTTAACCCTAGGTCTATGGGTTTTATGGTGATTTGAAATTTTTAACTAGGGTTTAAGTAAACCCTATGTGAGAATTGGTAGTTTTGGGACAATGTGAATAAATGAATGACGATATTGGGGGTTTTAGATGTTAAATAGGATTGATGGAATGGATTAGAAGGGTTGATGTTGTGAAATAAGGAATTTAGGCATAATGCTTACTTATAATCTAGTGATTTCGGGCTTTATTTAGAGTGATAATTGATAATTATTGCTTAATTGTGTTAAGGGTTGTTCAAGTGTTATCATGCGAGTGGAAACGTTTGGAGCAAACATTGAACCACAGTATCCCTTTTTGTGACAAAAAGGTTGAGACAATGGAATAATTTACACTATTTAATTAAAGTAACTGTCTTAGATATGTAAATTTTCTACATGTGATTTGAAAGCATTACATATTGGAAAAATAAATTTTTGTGCATTTCAAATGATTTTTCAAACGATGAAAATTTGTGAAAGTCTCTTATATGAGTAAAATGTGAATTTGATGCAAACATGTGTTATGTATGATAAGCGTGAGAATGATCATGATAAGGGGTGAAAGTTTACACGTAAGAAAGATATGGCATGTATCTAGAAATTACCTGTTTAGTATCCAAGTGGGATACAGTGTTAGAGATTGATGCTCCTTAGCATCAATGATGTGGTGTTAGAGTAATGACACCCCAATTCGTGTATGATAGGGAAAAACTATAGTCTAAAAGTGAGATAAGACACCTTTGGCTAAGTGATCTTACCACTGAAGGTGAGCTCAGGCCGTTGAGAATGTGCACCTGATCCAAAAGCTGATGGTTTCAACCGGAATGATATAGAGGCTTAAATGGTAGAATAATCATGTTTGAGTGGGGAATGACTTGTGTTTTATGGAAAGGATATGTTTAAATATGCTAAATGAGTATTTTTGACATGTATAAGCTTTACTTACTTCTAGTTGTGTATGTTAATTGATAATAGTAAAATATTCTATTACTGAGATATTTATCTTAACCCGTGGTTATATTTTTACAGGTGAGAGCTCTGATAGGGGCAAGGGGAAGGAAGGAATGACCAAAGCATGAAGATCCTTGTTTGTATAGCTCTTCCTTTTCATATTTTGGTTTTGTAATGAATATGTCATGGTATTATTCCAACCTAAGAGCATTTCATTGCTTTACTATCACATATATGAGCATCTGCGTAATGGATGTGTATCTTGGCCTATACTTGAGGTGATTATGGTTACTTGAGTGTGAATGACCAAGATACCAGTGCAAGTGATATATTTGTGATGATTATGTATTGGAATGACTAAAATAATATTTATGTTGAATTTTATCCACCCTTTTTTGGTTGTTAAAAATTGAGGGTTTGTTGGTCATTTTGCGAATGAATATTTATTATTGTGATATATTTGGCCTAATATGATGTGTGTGGTTCATTTGAGTTGGTCAAAGTAGTCTCAGAGCTAATGGCACTAGGTTGTGTGTTTTGGACACTATTGAGTGTGTTATGGTTTAAAAACAGACCATTTTAAGTTCGGGTATCCATCTATTTAATGGATAATTATTTAGGTGTGAGACTGATGCCATTAGTTAGAGGGCTCAAAGAGCTTTGTGTGGACACTTAAGCTACTCAAATTGAATGTCGATGATGAAACAACTCACTTTAGAAGTGTGAAATACAGTAATGACAACACATTGCTGTCATGACAGTAATTGGCAGTAGGTGAGCATAACAGTCATGTCGTGGCACAATACATGCTGAGGGACGAGTCCCTTTGTGCCATCCGCTGTAGCGGTTGTGGCCTACGCCACGACGGATAATGCAAATTCTAAGTTTTTCCATATTTGCTCCATGCATATTGTTAAGTATTGATTTGTGTTTTCATGCTTCCATTACCTTGTTTAAATGATTTTAAATTATAATTTGAGCTTAAACAACTTTAAAAAAAAGTTTTTTTTAGGATCCTAATATTTTAAACTATTACTTTTAAACCCTTGGGTTGTGGTATCTTTTCTCAGGGATTTTAATTAATCTTAGTTACAACAACGATGTGTTAGAGTGTTGTCTTGGTAATGTCAAAGTGGACATTATAACCTATTTTTGCTGAACAGAGGCTAGGGAACTAAATTCAACCCTAAATCACTTAATTCATTTCTGATTGCATGATTTGAGATTGAGTTCATCAACTTTTCACTGTACAACTTCAACCTTCACTTTGTTTACATCAACACTAGTGTCACTTAGCACCCTAGCCTAGTTTGAGTCTTAACAAACAATGGTAATGGTCCCTCGCTTCAAGTTCAGCTGTCCATCATCGTGTGCTTGAACTTGAAGATTGAAGCGTAAGAATAAAGCTATGTGAGTTTGTGACAGTACTCTTCATTCTTCAACTTTCACTCATTGTTTTGCTCAAAGTCAAAGCCTCTAACTCGATCTACTCGCTATTGGCATTGTCCAATCTTCAATCATAGTTTTGCTTGATCTATTCCCCTAATCACCGTCCGACAGACACGCAAATGCAAGCATGAGTGAAGTGTAATCAAATTTTGTTGAACTTGATAATAGTGGTGAAGAAGATAATAATGTTGCTTCTAATGTTTGAGTATGTTTATTGATTTAAAGATTTGCATTCGATTGTGGTTCCTAGTGGTGAACAGATTCTATTTATAGTTCATTTAGATGTTATTTAGTTGGTTTGCTTATTGCTACTTGTAATTTGCTAAACCGCTATTTGTTATTTTGTTTGGTGTGGTTTGATACTGGATTGAGACTTTATGCTTATATGGAATGACAAAGTATTTTCAGTTTGATAAAAAAATTTAAAAACATACAAACAGGTAAAAGGGCCTGAAGCCTATAGGGCCAACCCTAAGCTCACTATGTTGAGGATCGAGCTTAGCATATAAGAGTCTTCAATGGCAAGTAGGCTTAAATGGGTTGGCCTTTTAGGCCTGAGCCCATTAAGGGCTGGCCTAGCCCATTTTCTTAGCTCTAGCCAAGTATCATACCCTTCTAGAATATCTTCATGAGCCAAATAATCTTATTCCTTATCTTCTTATCCTATATATCCAATATTTTCTTCAATTCGACTCTATAAGTTAGATTATCTTAGAGTTCAATCTTCTCAAGCTCGATAATATGAGATGAATTTGATTTGTACCTCTTAAGAAGAGACACATGGAAGGCATTATTCATGCTAGACAACTTTGGAGGCAATGTGATTTACAAAGCAGCCGACTTTATTTTCTCTAAAATCTTGAATGAGCAAATAACTTTGGTTATTAGCTTCTTAGCTCAAATGGACTTTCATATGCCTATTAACAATATAACCCTTAAGAATATATAATCACCTAGCAGAAACTCTAATAGTCTCCTCTTTCCATTCGTATAAGTCTTTTGACGACTCTAAGTTGCTAATAGCTTATGTTTAATCGTTTCAATCTTTTGGATAGAACAGTCAACAAAATCTGACTACACATAGTAGTGATTTAAACTTTCTTTCATATAATGCCTCTTAAACTTTGTCTAAGATAAAATTTCACTGACAAGATCAACATTGTCTTTTCAAGGTGTCGCATAATCTTCCCAACAAAGCTCGACACCACTAATGATTTTGTTTATGTTTATATTTTTCCTATTTTCCTTATAGGATGTCTTTCCATTTATTTACATGTAATTTTGCTTGTCTTGATCCAAAAAATGCTATTTAGCTCATTTTTTGGGCTTTACATATATATATATATATTACAAAAAAAATCCTAGATAATAATTATGTTAAAATGTAATGATTATTTAGTTTATGGGAACTTATTTTCTTGTAATTTTTGATGAAATGATACATTTATTTTTAGTGACTGTTATATGTTGAGAAATGATTACTTTGTTTGAACTATTATCATATTAAAAAAAATGACTACTTTCTTTCTGTAAATCACGGTCCTCTCCTCTCTCCTCTCTCCTCCTCCTCTTTTTTAACAACCAAACCAATCCTACTTATGAAGGTATCCTATTCCAAGCAGACTCGCCCCAAGCCGTGGAGCCCGCGAAGCAAACGAATCAGAAAAGCTATCGTTCGTCATGTATAACCCAAATATTTTTTCTTAATTAAGAATAGATTATTTTCAACAAGAACCCTCCCGCTGTTTCCTCTAGGGTTGGGAAGCAGGGGCTTGTCAATCTGTTTGAATTATATTTATCGACGCAGAAACACGCACCCAACTTTGTACCTAAGCTTCACAAAAATGGGTGGATCAGTGAAAGATGTGCAATCAAAGGCGGAGCTTGATAATCTTATTCGCACTGGTGTACCAGTTATCCTTCATTTCTGGGCTTCGTGGTGTGATGCTTCTAAGCATATGGATCAAGTCTTCTCCCACTTGTCTACCGATTTCCCTCATGCAAATTTCTTCAGGGTTTAATTATCTCTTTGCTCCTCAAAAATCTTTTGAGAGGTTTTTATTGTTTCTGTTTAGTCTGATTCGTTTTTATTATTTTTAGGTTGAAGCTGAAGAGCAGCCGGAAATATCTGACGCTTATTCGGTTTCTGCTGTGCCTTACTTTGTCTTCTGCAAGGTACAGTGTTTGGACTGCCATTTTATTTGTAATTTTTGTCTGTCATCTGGTAATTAGGGAATTTGCATAATCTAGTCTGTGAGTTGTTGTAGAAGTTTTTTATTTATTATAAAGAGAGTTCATAAAATAGAAAGGGAAAAACAGCTCCATCATTCAAATGATCGTTATTCACGTTATAGGGTGTATATCTCAGCGGCATGTCATGGATGATATGGGTTGGCATTGGAGCATTGATCCCCCGAGGCCTGAGGAACTGTCTTGGAAAAGAAAATTAGAATTCAGGGGAATTTGGGGGTGTTTATATTCTTTGTGCTTTGTTGAAGACGTTTCAGAATTTATTTATTCCTGTATACCCGATGGATACTTATATACATATACATATATATATATATATATATATCCACACACACAGGCAATCATACGTACATCATACATGTGTGGTCATGCCATTTCCCATTTTACTCTATGTGCCGAATATACCTTAAGAGTTTAGGATAAGGAAGATGTCTCAACTTGCACTTAAGCTCTGTTTCATGTGAACTCTGGTAAGTTCACGAATTGTTGAAATCATGAAACTCTCAGTTTGGCTTCTATTTTGGGATTCTGAATCTCAGATAATTTAGCACACTTTTCCTTCATTACTATGCCTCTGCTTTCCCATGGCAGAAGAAAAATGCTATTCAAAATGCTTAATCTTACTCACATTGCTTCTGTGCACCAATTTCCTTGGTCCATCCCCTCATTTGAAGATCTTTATTCAATTTTTACTTTTGGATTGTGATTCTATGGTTTGGTTTTGTATGCATTTTATTTCCATTACGAATATGCAATAGAGACTCTTGTTTATTTCTTGGCACTTTGATGCTGATATATGTACACCTGAATGTTCTACTGTTTTTATTTTTTTAAAAATATTTTCCTCAATTGATATTCATTTCAAGTCTATACATTTAGCTGTTTTTTGTCTGCATGAGCTATTACTAATTTATAGGTCAAGTTTTCTTCTCACTAGATTACGTAAGCTTGGAATACTATTAAACCCCTATGAATAAAAGTGAAAGGGGGAGGGGGAGGGGGAGGCGGAAGGGGCGGAACTTTGCACTCATGTTAAGCACATTCTTAATTTCAATCTCACAAGTTTCCTATATGTATGCTTAAATTAAGATCTAATTAATTGCTACCAGTTTGAGTTTACTTGCTAAATGGACTCTGAACTTGTGAATCTAAAAGTTGAGACAAAAGTTTTTTTTTTTTTAAATTATGCATTATATAAATGCATTAGTTTCTTATAAGAATTTTGTCTTTTGGTCGTGAACATAAATCTTTAGAGCTTATTATAAAGTAAAGGCCCAAGCATTTCCCAGCCCAAATGAATCTTTTGCTTTGTTAGTATGATAACCCTATATCATTACAGTCAAATATTTATAATTCCACATTCACATGTGATTTTTCTTTTTCTTGAGTTTAGTGCATTTGTATCTCAGGGCACTAGTGCTTAACGGGCAGTTTTTCACATGAACCATTTTACTAAGGAGAGTATGCTTTTCTAGAGATTCATTTGTTCATGCATAGCATACATGGCTTTTGGATCAAAGCAGGATGGATAATTGGATGTGTTCGCCAATTTTCTTAAATTTCACTAGTTGTTTGGTTTGTTGCTGTTTTACTTTACCTGCTATCGAGTTCTATAGGAAACTTTAGTTGGTCTAGTGATGCAATTTAGCTTATGCCAATATGTGAACTATTCATGGCATGATTAGCGTTGTTGATAGTTTCATGATTTGTGAGTTTGAGAGGACTTTGTTCTGTACACGCGACTGCTCTATTCAATCCTTGTTTATAATGCTTGTAAAATAGATAGTTGTGCATGATAATTTGCTGCACTAGACTGAGGGAATATTTCCATTAAGTTGGTGTGAACACTATAATGGAGACAATTTCATATCGGTTAAGTTGGATGAGCTTTGGTTTATATTTCTTAGCTTACTGTTTTACGGTAATCAAGTTTATGTTTTTTTTTTTTATTTTCTTTCATTTTTATTGAAATAGAAGCCCATGTGGATTGAGGCATTATCTCTGTTTCGTTGGAATTATAAGTGTCTTTTGAGTTATTAAGCATCCTCTCAACTTTTGCAGGTTTGCCTTTTGTATTTTAACTTGTGTTGCTATGAATAGGGCCCTTGTTATGTGGTTTTCCAATTTCAATAGTTGATAGAAATTCATTTTCTGTCAGGATGGCAAGACCTTTGATACATTAGAGGGTGCAGATCCATCAAGTTTGGCCAATAAGGTTGCTAAAGTTGCTGGTTCAATTAATCCTGGAGATGCTGCTTCACCTGCTAGCCTTGGTTTAGCTGCAGGGCCCACTGTTCTGGAAACAGTAAAAGAAATGGCAAAGGAAAATGGATCTCCAAAGGGAACAAGTCAAGTGCAACCAGGGCTTAGTGATGCTTTAAAAAGGCGATTGCAGCATCTCATTGAGTCTCAACCTATTATCCTATTCATGAAAGGGAGCCCTGAGGAGCCCAAATGCGGATTCAGCAAAAAAGTTGTTGAAATTTTGAGCAAGGAAAAGGTCAAGTTTGGAACTTTTGACATCCTTTCAGACAATGAGGTTCGTGAGAGCTTGAAGAAATTTTCTAACTGGCCCACATATCCCCAATTATACTGCAAAGGAGAGCTTCTGGGTGGTTGTGACATTGTAATTGCTATGCATGAGAGTGGTGAATTGCAGGAGGTGTTCAAAGATCATGGAATTGATACCAATGCAGACGCAAAAGTAACAGAATCTGTTAATTCGAAGGGAGGCATATCAGAATCAACTGGTTTGAGTACAATGTTAACCTCCCGACTGGAAAACCTAATAAACTCAAGCCCAGTAATGCTGTTTATGAAGGGAAAACCAGATGAACCAAAGTGTGGTTTCAGCAGAAAGGTTGTTGAAATTCTCGGGCAAGAAAATGTCCCCTTTCAAAGCTTTGACATTCTTGCTGATGAGGAAGTCCGTCAAGGCCTTAAAGTTTACTCTAACTGGTCTAGTTACCCTCAACTTTATATCAAGGGTGAACTTATCGGCGGATCAGACATCGTGTTGGAGATGCAAAAAAGTGGAGAACTCAAGAAGGTCTTGCTTGAAAAGGGGATTATCCGAGAGGTGGATCTTCATGATCGCCTGAAAAAATTGATAGCTTCCTCACCTGTCATGCTCTTCATGAAAGGCACCCCAGATGCCCCAAGATGCGGCTTCAGTTCCAAAGTTGTCGATGCCCTGCAAGCCGAGGGCATAAGTTTCAGCTCCTTTGATATTCTAACCGATGAGGAGGTGAGACAGGGATTGAAGGTGTTCTCAAATTGGCCAACCTTTCCACAACTGTACTACAAAGGTGAGCTGATAGGTGGTTGCGACATTGTGATGGAGCTGCGAAACAATGGCGAACTTAAGTCTACTCTATCAGAGTAGGGTAATTTCAACTACATTGAATAACTGGGAACATTTCGTAGGAGCCATTATAGCTGAATGTGTCGGATTGAATCTTATGAGAATTTTGATCCTGGTTCCAGGATTACTGTTGCTGTAATGTTCTATGTTTGCATAGCACTTATAAATCGCTGTCATATTCGAAGTATGCCAACTGTTTTGTGCATCTACATGAGCATGCTGTATGCCTTCCTGGATGAGCCTTTACCGCATGAGTTTTTGGAAGTGGCTTCCCTCCACTGATTGGAGAGGATAGACCTCTACAACTATAAGACTGTTGGATTGAGTTTAATTATCCAGGCTTTGACAGTTCTTTGGAGTATACATTAATTTGTACCTTCAAAATTTAATCTGGACAGTTGAAAACTGTAGTAGAGATGTGGTGAAGAAATTAAGTACTACTATTTAATTACGTTTTTCGCATGAGTGTTTTAGTAAAGATCTTTTCCTGTAACCGGGGAGAAAAACGAAAGATTGAAATTTATGGTCTTTTGTACGGTTCTTGAAATGGACCAGGAGATAACCAAAAGAGCAGGTAGAGTTTTTTTTTTTTGGCTCTCCCTTGATTTATTACAGGTATCTTATTGAAGTTGATATTATTTGAGGCATTGTAAGATACTTTTCCATTGACACTTAAAAATAGCTACCGAGACACCCTTTTCAAGGAAACAATACAGGAAAAAGTACAATTATATTCTTATTCGTATCTCGAGTACGTATTAACCTGGCATCTTTCAATCATTATTTCTACCTCAAAGATATCATCAATTCGTCATATGCTTTGAAAAAATCTAAGCAGTGTTTGCAAAATCACATTTCATCTTTTTGAGCTCAAATATTGGTCTAGAATTCGTAAATATATACTTATTTCACTCTAAGCATTCTACAACCTTGAGTTCTTAGGCTTTCTCTCTATAAGTGTTTTCTCCAAATTTGGAATATCAAGAAACAATTAAAGTTCAAATGAAAGCTTAAATTGAGTAGGTCAAGAATATGTATTTGCATGTGAGGTTTGATCAAGAATGAAGGTTATTTGGTTGACTTAAAGTCTCTCTCTCTCAACTCTCTGAAACTCCATGGAAGCTGGAGAAGTTTTCTCCCTCCCTCCCTTGCTCTCTTACTCTCTACGTCCAAAATGAGGGAGGAAAGGAGTGTTTTGTAATATAGTTGGTCCTACTTATGCTCCCGCTAACCGAACCCAAACCACCAAAATAACAAAATTCCATTAACTCAAAAATGTAAGCCCAACATCATTCTCTTGAAGGAAAAAGGACCTTTTGTCCTTGGCTCAAAATAGGCTTATTGTCTTTTTTTTTTTTTGTGGCATCCTATAAGAAGAAAATGGTATTTCCAAAAATCCCTAATATTCTAAGTTTTATAATTAACTCTTTCGGATATTTTCTAATAGCTAATATTAATACAATTCTTCCAAATATTTATTTCCTTCATATTCCAATTTTCTTCTCTTTTCTTGAATCTACTTTGATTCCCAATTATTATTTTGTAATTATTTCAAAGAATTACATTTTCTTTATGTCCCAAAAATAATGCCTATTTATTATTCAAATTCTTATGAATATATTTGTCCAAAGATTAACTCCAATCTTCTAATAATCATTTCTCATAATCCACCTTCTTTGACTAATACCATTATTTAATTATTTATTCCTAAAATTTCCCACTAACTAGCATACAAAAAGCTGGATATGACAGATTGGCTAGAGACTGCATGGTATCAACTATCACTTGGCACAATTTAGATTGCTTCTTATGTTCTTGTTCCTCTTGTTGGTGAAAGTATTCCTGCTCTTTTGCATCTTGGATTCTATCCTTCTCTACCTTTTGCTTTTGTTGAGCATGGAACATTGCCTCTTCGTCAACTCCTTTTCAATTGTCTTGTTCATAGCACCTCATGAAGCCCTTGAAGATCTCCTTAATTTGTTTAGCTTGCTACTCTAGGTTTTTCTAAAGTCTCTTCAGGTGTAACATCCTAAAAATTTAATCTTGATTAATCAGGCTAAATGAGTATAATTAAGATAATGTGGTGTATAGTCAAAGAGGATAATGAATGTATTAGATTGCGGTTTTAGCCTTAGATTCAAGTTTAGAGCAAAGTCAAATTACTTGGACCATCAAAAAGGGAGGAAAACAAAAAAGTATAGCTCTATACCGCATGTTATAGCACGTGCAGCATATGCCACAGAGTAATAGGCCAAAAGAGGGAAGATATTGTGAGATATGGAAATCATGCTCATTAGGTTAGCTAAATGTATGCTAATGGTTAATTGAACACATGGATGTGATTAATAGTATGCTATGTGTATGAGCATGATTCATTGTATGATCATATTGGTGGGAGTTTACTTAGGAAGAGGAGTAGATAAATTCACATGATATGGCTGCCTTTCGCTATCCAAAGGCTAGCCTTATCCCACTGTTTATCGAGGACTATCCCATTATTTGTCGAGGGATTTGAACTAAGCTTTTTCTACCTATTTATTAAAAAGACTAGCTTAGAATTTACAACACCTTAGGGATTCAAGAATGGAAGAATCCATGGTCCGAGAGTGAGCATAGTGATCTTTGGCCTAGTTGCTCATCACAATTGAGGAGCTTAGGCAGGCCATTTACATGGACAGGGGCCTTGTTTGATTTATAGCTCATAGCTTCTGTTAGGGGTTAAAATGAGCATATAAGGTTGGAGTCAATCATGTATACAATTCAACATGTCACATGGTTCGTAAGTTTGTGGCTTGTGATTATTGTGTTTGCCATTGCCACATAATTGTTAGTATTATGGTTATGGATAATGTGGTGTATTTATGAGAAATGTGATAATTTGTACATATGTGATGAGTTATATGAGATTATGTGGAAATGTATTTTTATCTCTCATATGTGTTTAAGTGTCAAGTGATATGTAATTACATAGGATAGATGAACTTTAGTTACTGAGTGATTGTATTCACCCTTCTCTCTTAACATTTTACAAGCTCTAGCTAAGGTGCTAAAAAAGGAAAAGCTCCAAAGGCTTAGAGATTTATAATTCCTACTGTAAAGCCTTTTATCTTATTTTGATTTATGTGTAATTATGAAGATATTACCAACTAGGGATATCTTTGATTATATACTTGCAATATAGGAAATTGCATGATTTGATGGTTGTATTTTTGGCTCTAGAGTTATCGTATGTTAATTTAATTGTTTTCAATAGGGTCAAAATACTAATGTAAGTAAAGAGAGAAAATTGTAAATTTTTAGATTATTAAATATTTTAAATATATGCAATGTTGGACCTTCCCCTATTATTTTTGATATTGAGGGGTTGAGGGTTTGAAATGAGAAATGAGTACTATATTGTGACTATGGTATGCTACATATGTGGCCCTAGATCCAATTAGTGTGATCTAGGTGATGTGTGGTGGCTTTTTTCATATAAGTTGGCTTTTTAGACACCCTTATTATGGAAAAGTGTGTGAATGTGAGAAAATTGTGTTTGGAAGTCCAACATCTTTGTGTGAAATTATTGGAGAGAAAAACTCATGCTATTGGCTCGATTATGTAAGGAGCTTTATATAAATATCTAGATCACTTCGATCAGACATCAAACAAAGAAACAAGGTGTATCAAGTTTGCCCCTATGCTGTCAAAATGATAGCATAGTTGCTATCAAAATGTACAACATGCCATGACGTGTGGCACAGAGAGGGATAGGTTGCGACGCATGTGCACATGCCATGGCATATCCCTAAATGGTTTCCCACTTAGAGTTTGTAAATCAATTTTCATGGGTTTTGACTACTAAATGGAATCTCATACCTTCGTATTTGTTCTTGGTCTATGTTAGACTCATTAAAGTTATATTTGAACTATTTTAGAATTTTTAAACTTGTTTGAAAGAAATACATTTGGATTTTGAAATACTTGTAAATGGTTAACCATAGTTAGGTAATATTCTTGGGTTAATTCCATGATTACTAGTGGAGTTATAAGTAAGTATTGAATTAGTAAGGGTGACTTTATATCAGGTCTTGATCAAAAATTCTCCTTGAGACTAGTAGCTTGTGTACAAAATAGACAAAGGCTCGTCTGACCCCAAGTGGTTTGGAGTATTGAGTTCTGGGAATCCTTCCTCCCTTTCATTCCTAGGACATGAAGTAGGAGCTTTGTGCTACACTTGAAGCATTGTCTTATGAACCCAGATGTCCAATGTTGTCTTTGTCATCAAAATCTCTAGAATGGGTATTTCTTGAAATTGCTTTGGCAAGTCCTACTAGTTGTGCCAAAACTTTTTTGGTCAAGTTTCAAAGCATTGTGTCCCTTATAGTTTTCCAAGTGTGCCAAAGTAGCTTTATCTTTGAATGAGCTAGTAATTAGCAATTGTGAGTTCCCAAGGTCTTTTATCACAATTTCCTTGGAGTGCCAATATGAATTAGAGCTTTAGAGTAATTAAGGTTGTGTATGGAAATGATAATGTATTCATTGAAAACTAATTACAATAAGAGCACTCTGATGATTGGAGGGTAAAACAAAGTAATGAACCTTGATGAACTAGATTGCAGATAAAAGGGTTCATATTGTGAGTTTGAAATTAACATAGGGTCAATAAGTTTTGCATGAGCAATCTAGCTTGTTGAGAGTGTTGAAGCATCAGAGAATCTTCATGTTACACACCTATTGCCTTTCATACAAGTAGGCAACAACCCTCTACTTTGAATTTGAAATTTACCTGCTTATAGGAACGATAGTTATTTGTGCTCATTATAGCCGATAATTCAAGTGAACTAGATTTATTTGAATATGTCTTATAATACCTAAATATATAAAAAAAAAAGCTCATATAGTCAAGCCTAATCCTAAGACTTTTATATTATTTTGATTTTATAATAATAATAATAATAATGAATTCTAGTATTCATGTTTATTCATTTGAGTTTAGGCTTGGCCCGAATTTCTTCAAGTTTATTTGTGTAGGGTAAATAAGCTTGAGGTAAATAAAATCTTTTAAATTTCCAAATATGGCTATAAGATTTTTTTGAATTTATTTGAATCAGCCGTCAAGTTTGACTCGAATTATTACTTCTAGAGCTTATCCCATGATCATTGGTGTGCCTTGTTAAGGGAACGTGCTAGGGCAAGTGCTTCGCATTTCATAGATAATTGGTCATTGGCCTTTGGACATGGTAGCTAGAGTTGAGAGTTCAGGTGGGCTGGGCCTATTTAGGCTTAGCCCTACCCGAACAAGCCTGATTCTCATAAAAGCCTAAATAGCTAAGTCTGGCCCAAATTCCTTCAGGTTTCGGGCAGCCCGAATACTCGAATTTTATTTTAAAAATCATTTTTAATTAATTTTTTAACTTTAAAATTAATTATTTTATTTTATAAAAAATATAAAATATATATTTTTGATACTTAAATGATGTATTGGACTCAAATATATGATATTTTAGCATAAAATGTCTCAAAACTTAAAAAATTAATTAATATTTATTATATTTTATATATTTTTTAAAAATAAATTTTTTTTATTCAGGTATTCTGGCCAAACCCGAACCCACCCGAGTAGGGCTGAACATAAAATAACAATAATTTTTTAAAGCTCGGCCCTAAATTTTTTTAGATAGATTCGAGTTAGCCTGTCAAGCTCAGTTCGAATTAGAGAGCTAATAACCACGTCACTTTGAATGGAACGTTTCATTAACTTCCCAAAGGTCCAGCCTCAATGTCTTAGCGGTGTGGGCTTGCTGCGAATGTTCCTCGAGTTGGGCCTTAACATATTTAGTCCTCAACCCTTAGCGCCATTTAAGTTCAAATATATTTCAATAAAACATTGTTAAAAATTAATAATACCTTTTACTTACTTACCAACATTATCACCAGTAGTAGTTATTCGATTCACCTAGTGTCTGATTAAAATTGTTGGTCAAAATGGTATATGTTTGTGTTTTACATGGCTACAAAATAACATTAATTAGTTCCTTGACATTTACTTGTAATTTTGAGGCCTAATTTCTTATTTGACGTTTATTTTGTAATTTTCCAAGGCCTTATCTGTAATTTTTCTTGTCCACTAACTATCAAATTGTTTGTTGATGGAGAGGCAGCATTGCACCCTTTATAATACTTAACTGCAACATTTTGCCACCCTTAACTTTAAGGTGACCATTTCACCTAAAAAAATTTTAAGGGTAACAATAATGCATTTTAATTTGGTTCCTAAATTTTGATTCTTACCATTTAATTTTTATAGTTTTAACCATTTAAATATTGATCTCTATATCTTAACAAATAAAATTATTAAGATTAAAATTATGTTAAAATTTATTACTAATATTTCATACTACTAAACCATTTTAATCTTTATAAATATTAAAAATTTAAAATATTTGTAATCTTTATAATTTTACTTTTTAAAATATAGGGATCAATATTTAAGTGGTTAAAACTATAGGGACTAAATTATAAGAAATAAAATTTAAATTAAATTAAAGTTCAAGAATAGAATTACAACTAGGTTAAAAGTATGGGGATTAAATGATTAATTTTCTCAATAATTTTTTAGAAGAATTAAAATACATTTTTCAGTAGAAATGGGATAAAAATAAAAATACTTTTCAATCCTATAGACATTGGTCATTACTAATTTGAAAAGTATTTTCATCATCTTTTAAATTGAGAGTGAACGAGAATTTTCCCACACACAGAGAGAGAGAGAGAGAGAGAGAGAGAGAGAGTGAAATTCAAGCATTTTTCAATGAAAAAAATAAGTAGGATTTTTATTTTAAAAAACAAAACCCCGCGATACTAACCATTTTAGCTTGAAAAATAAGAACAGAGTGTGAATGCATGCGGAGTGGGGGAAAAAGAAGGAGCATCAAGATGTTTTTTATCTACTAAAATAAAAACCCAATTTGACTTTTTCTAATTCCGTAATACCATTTTATAGTATACATCTCTTGAAATATGTTTCCCATCTAGCAGTTGATTTGGTCATGTACTATTCTTGGATACAATACACAGCAAATAAAGCACGTTCTCGAACTTCATAACAATCTTTTTTTAGAATAATAGAGTTATAAAACCAAAACAAATTGCAAGACTTCCAAGCAAATCATCGTATCAGTGGATACCATTGGTTTCCTTCGTTGTTTCTAAAGCAGAAAGCCAGACTTGGATATAAGAAAAAGAGATGGAAAATTCAAAAATATTATTGTTTCTGGCTTTCTGCTTCTTCCTCATTGCACAACAAATTCTCTCGGTGAAATCTGAAAAGCATCCTCATCGCTTGGTACCAGCCTTATATATTTTTGGTAGTTCTTCAGTTGATGCTGGAAACAACAATCATCTAAATACAGTAGCGAATGCAAATATGTGGCCTTATGCCATTGATTTCAACAATGTACGAGGTCGATATTCTAATGGCAAAAATTTGGCAGATTTTGCAGGTAAGATTGTTAGTTAATTAATTCAGAAAATATGATCTCGCTCAATTGTTATTACATTTTGTAACTGTGATCGATTTGTTAGATTTTTTATCTCAAAAGTGCTTAAAGATAATCTACTTTAGACACATCATAAATTTTATATATTCATATATCTATCCTCTAATTTCTTTTTTAAATAAAATTTATCCTCTAATTTCTAGATGTAGGACTTTCTTTTATATTTAATATTTCTTCTACTATTTCTTCTTCTTCTGACTTGGGTTTGTACTTTTTTTTTTTAGAATTTCAAAATCTTCAAGTCTATTCAATTTTCTTTTTCTTCTTATCTTTATTTCTTTTTGTAATCTTGTTTTCCCCCTTCATTTTTCGTTCTTGTTTTTTTTTGGTCCCCAATAGAATGACTCTTTATATTATGTTAATTTTTTATATTAAATATACTTAAGAATAAATTAATTCATCAAAATAGTTTAAATTATTTGTTTTTACATATCTCAAGTTTTATATATTCATGATTTGTCCTCCAATTTCTACACGTGAGACTTTCTTTTATCTCTAATATAATTATGGTGTTCAATAGCTGTATTATTCCTCCAATTATTATGAAGACAATTGAGACATTGACTAAAGTATACAATATTTTTGGGTTGATTTTCTCCATATAGCTATTAATTTGGGACTACCATCGGCTCCTCCGTACTTGAATTTGTCGGATTCTCAAAGAAGTCAAATAGCGACTGGAATAAACTATGGATCAGGAGCGTGTGGAATCTTAAACACATCTAGAGTGGTGCGAATTAAATCTTTTGACAAAGTTCTTATATATTTTGCAAGTTTTTATTGGCATTTATTAATTATTTCATTTATATAGTAAATGTTTTTGTTTTATCTCAAATAATTAAATTAAATACTCTTTGGTTCCTGCAGGGAGATTGTTTATGGCTTGGGCAACAAATCAAATACTTTACCTCTACAGTGAAAAACGATCTCCCAAAACAAATGGATGAAACCAAATTGAGAAACCACTTGGCCAAATCAATGTACCTTCTGTTTATTGGCCTCAATGATTATAACCCTCTGGCTAATGGCAACATCACCGACCGATACAGTGGACCAGACTATGCAGATTACCTCCTTGATGAAATTTCCAAGCATATCCAGGTTCATCTTCTACCTTGTTTTTCTGTTTTTTTTTTTTTAATTTCATCGCCCGATGTTCTAGTAAACCTGGAGTATTTTACTTGTTGCCCAAACTAATATGAACCGTCACTATTTGGGACCACTATTATCAATGTCAGTCTCACAGCTGTGTCGGGAATATATTGTTTTACTTTGCTCTATCACGCAAACACTCACACACACATGTTTGAAGGCTTACTAATTTATATATAAATTAGTCCCATTTTTCTGAACATGAAATGTTGAAATCTAGTCTAACTAATAAATATGTGTGCATGTGTGTGTAGTGTGCCTTACAATCAATTTCATATTTTAAATTGATATTTATTTATTAACTAGTGCACATTTAGTATTAGAAAAGTGGACAGAATTTTATAAAAAAAAAAAAAGTTAAAATGTTGGGAGGACCAATGTGATATTCTAGAAGTGAATTAGTTGCATACTAAAATTTTGTTTGGATTTAAGCTCTTTAATATAAACCATCCAAATTAGATTTGGATGATTTATATTGTATCTTTCCTCCTGTTTTTTTGGGGTCAAATCTTGACACGTTTAATTTTAAAGGAAGTATAATGTAAAATTAAGATACAGCCTTGTAATTGTAGAAGCAGGACATTAAAAACTAAAAATTTAAAACTTAGAATTAGAACATTTTAAATAAAGTCAAAATGATATAAAAACCTTGAGAATGAAATGCACATATGCCTTAGATCTTCTAAACTAATTAGTAGTTTTTCTGACACCTAACATAAATTTTGCCTTTTTTTTTTTGTGGAAACAATTCCAGACACTGTATGATCTTGGAGCCAGAAAGTTCGTGGTGCAGGGCGTTTCACTTTGTAAGCCAAAGCAATATGACCAAGAAAAAACTGTTAAAGGGAAGGTTTTAAACTGTACCTCAAGATACTATAGAGACAAACTTCCTGCAAAGCTATCATCTTTAGAAGCCAAGCTCAAGGGTTCCATTTTCACAATTTATGATAATTATATGTTGCGCTACAACATGCAGCAAAACCACCAAAAATATGGTAAGCGAATACACACGCGCGCGCGCGTATATATACATATATATACACACACATGTGTGTGTGTGTTCAAGCTACACTATTTATTATAACATATATGAATGACACATTGCATCTTAAATTTTAATTTTATGCAAAGCACATGATCATTCATCACATTCTAGTTTTATTCTTAATTAGGTCATTTATCATATATTGTTGCGGGTTGAATTTGTATTTTGATATTAATAATTTCCAAATCATCTTATGAATCCCTTGCCTCACTTACTAACAAGATGCCCTATGCCCTATATATATATAGCCACATTGTTTTTAGTTTAATTTACAAATAGTTTGATTAGCTATAAATTATTTCATATTTTCCTTATTATGTCTCGTGCATTATACATACTCCCTTTGGTGCAAAATATAAGCCGTTTTTCCCTAGTTAATGTTACGTTGATACAAAATGTAAGCAACTTTGTATTAGTAAAAGCTTTTTTCCCATTTTATCCATTCATTAACATGGATTCTTGTATTTATTGTGAACTAATGACCTTTTTTTTTTTTACTCATTATAAATTGGGATCAAAGGTAAAAAAGAAGAATAATATATATAGTTATGGGAATAAGAATTTTATTGATATGCATATTATTGTTAAAAGCTACTTATATTTAGATTTAGACCAGAGGTAGCATAGTTCTGAGAAATTAACCAGTGGTACTATTCATACTTTTGATTCATAATTGAACTTTCTGTAAATTTATATTATATATTTAAATATTAATAAGTATTGATATTGGTTGTGATAATGATTTTAAATGATTTACCTGGATTTACAGGAATCACAGAGATAGAGGACCCTTGCTATGTGAGTAGCACTAATGAGCTGTGTTCTGATAGAACAAAATATCACTTTTTTGATAAATGGGGTCATCAAACTGAAGTCTCATGTAAAGTTGCTATGAATGGCTGCTTCAATGGAACTATTTGCACTCCTTACACTCTTTTTCAGCTGGCCAATATGCATATAAACCACAAGCAATGATGGAAATTTATAGATAAATATATATATTCTGATGTCAAGTTGTTATGAATTTTTTATATAAAAGATGATTTACATTCTTCTTTTAATTAATGATCCATTCAGAAATTTTTTTTCCTGTATTTTAATTTGTTATGGAAATTTAAACCGTTAATATTAATAAGGAATGAAATTTGACAGTAAAGGAATAGGGCAATAAGTACAAGACATTGTTGGGACAAAACAGATTAAATATTATTAAATAAAAAGAGTATTGCATAATTCTCTACCCAAAAAAAAAAAAGAGTATTGCATATTGTATATACAAACAACATTTTTGCTTACTAGAACCATTTAAAAAATGTAAAAGGAATAAAACGTTTACTCACTAACTATACTTATAGACAACAGTTCAAAATTATTGCCGATTCAAGTGCATGTATATGGAACAGTTTTCTTTCCCTATTACCATTAGGTGAAACTTAGAAGGCTTGTTTGGTTTCTGTCTTCATCAAAAACAGTTTTTTTTAAAAAAAAGACAAAAATAAAAATAAAAAACTTGTTTGGTGGATGTTTTGATTTTATTTTTAATAAACAAAGAAAGACAATAAAAGTAACACAACTACCCTACGGAACTAGAAATAAAGGTGATGAAATATTCAACTAGAGTGTTTTGAAATTGTTTTCATTTTATTTTTTATTCTTAAATTATATTATATTTTATTATTGAAAACTATAGTTATCTCAATAAAATAATTATCATCAGTCATTATAATCAATTGCTAGTGACCATTACTATTGATCAATTTTTTAATTTTAAAACTGTTTTTAAATTAATATAATAAAAAAGATTTTCCTTTTGTTTTGTTTTTAAAAAATAATTTTAAAAACTGTATTGCTAAACAGTTTTTCGGGAAAAAAAAATATAATAGATCCCAAACTGGTCCTTATAGTGTATAATGTTAGAATAAATAACAGTTATTTGGTGAATAATTGGCAACATTTTCGAAATGCTGCCTAAATTAATTTTAGTTCATAACTATTACTTAGAAGGCCCATGGTCAATATTATGAGTTTCAAATTGCAATCATAACCATTTTGTTCCTTGAGCTTCAAGCATAAGCTTTAGAGGACATTTGACAAATATTAATCGATTAAAAAAAATTTATAGGCAACATTTTTTATGTGATTGCAAACATCATATTTCAAATATAAATTAAAATAAATTAAAAGCCTGATAAATTTAAATAAATAAAATAAATTAAAAATATGTAATGGCTTTAAATGAAGAATCTGCCTTTTTTTTTTAAACCCAAAACCCCCACAATTATGGTTATATTAAATTAAATGCTTTGATTTGAATCTAAAATAATTTATGATGCACTGATACTTCAAATTATCTCACGTATCTGCATGGTTATCTATTCGATACCGATACTTGCAGATACTTCTTCAATACGTATTCATAAAATATTAAAATAATTTTTTTAAAAAAATTAATTTTTAATACATATCCGATACTTCAAAATTACAATTTGATACTTCTTTTGACTCCATTGAAGATTGGTGGACATTAGATCCCAAATTTTGGTGTGTGATGCATGATACTTCAACCCCTCTGCTTCAAAAGTTTGCTCTTAAGCTTCTTGTGGAACCATGCTTTTCATCATATTGTGAAAGGAATTGGAGTACCTACTCATTCATTCATTCAATAAAAAGAAACAAGTTGAATCCTAAAAGGGCAGAAGACTTGGTTTATCTCCATAATAATTTGCAACTCTTGGTTAGAAAAAGTGAAGAATATAAACAAGGCAAGTCCAAGATGTGAGACATTAGTGGAGATAAATGAGATGACTTTGATGTTGCTAGAATTTTTGGAGTGGCAAACTTATCTGTCGATGAATCACATGCATATAGAAGCTATCCTTTTGCTATATGATGGTCCAGGGGAGAAGATATTGATACTATACCTATTAATAGGGAATAGGTGATAAGCAATTAGATATAAATTGAATAAAAGTATAATTAATGATTATGTTTTTCTTGTTATTACTATAAGGGACTATATATGTATGCTAGTTTAGATATTTTCTGAATTAAAATTATATTTTTAATATTTTTATAACTTTTTATAAATATATATGCACATATTGAAAATGCATCGTACGTTATATTTTTAAAAATAAAATTATTGATGTATTAGATACGTATCATATTCGATACCTACATTGGTATTTGTGCATGCTAGAAAATAATTAACAAAAGTCAAATGTAAATTATTTGATATAATTTGATCATTGATGAGGAGAAACCCTAGTTGAGTCTCCATAAAAGGAACAGCAAGAAGGAAAGAGGGTGGATGAAAAATTGAGTAAGGATTTTTCGGAAGAGACGACAGAGTATATTGACGAAACTTTGAAGGTGAGTGATCTTTCTTATACTACTTTCATATTAATATCAATTTAGATATGCTTTTGAGTCCATGGATGTTTCTCTCCCCCCCAATAACTAAGTGTCATAATGATAGCGACATATTTCACCACCGCTCTTATCTTGATTTGACTTCTTTTTTGGCTTTAGGTGGCTTCTTACATTTGCTTCCTTAATTCAAAGTAATTGCATGTTTGCCTATTGTGTCTTTACTGTGCTTCATATTTTGTCCTCACTTGGTTTGGCGCTACATATCCATGCATGGGATGCTATGACACAGTATGAATACCTGTTTTATTTATTATTTTTTTTTAATTCATGGTTCTGGTAGCAATGTTATGATGTTGGGTCCAACGCAAATTTTGACTATACAATCACTACCCACTTGATATCTTATATTTCAATTCTATTTTCCTTATAATTTTAAGAGTTCAAGGGTGATACTATAACACCGTGAATGTTCTAATATATTGTGAGTGATATTAAATCATTGTGGTTGTCAAACAAAGAAAAGCCCTTTGAGTATAACTTTAAAATATGAAAATAATAAAAAAATTTAGCATATTTTAAATTATATCATGAAGTGATATCAAATGATCATGGATTTGTAAAAATATCAAATAAGATATCACGAATGACACTAAGTCGTCGCAAGTATCAAATTTTGCATTTAAACTTTCATAATTTAATTATTTTGTAAAAAATTTACTTTGACAATTCATTTAGAGTTTGTCATAAGTGATACTAAATCATCGTATATACTTGAAGTGTCAACCAGTAGACTGTGAGTAATACTAATTAATCATTGCTAATTCCAAAACTGGTTAAATTTTCCCCTCTTGTGAATTATTAAAATAATAATAATAATAATAATAATAATAATAATAATAATTTTTAGCATATTTTAGGGTTTGCCATGAGTAATATTAACATTACTACAAAATATGCTATTATAAGCGCTTATACAAAAAAGCGCTTCCATTATTAGATGCAAAAGATACCAGAGTGCTTTATTAATAAACTACTCCGGAATATGTAATCTATAAGAGCACTCAAAAGAACAGCACTCCTATAAAAAGGCTTTTGAAGTGCTAAAAAATAAAATGCTTCCAATGACAAAGAATTAAAAAATTAAAAAATTTTATCTTTTATGAATGCTTTTTATATAAGCGCTCTTATATGTTTCAATAAAAAAAATTAAAAGTTACTTTTAGGATGCTTATCAAATAAGCACTCTTATAGGTTATATTAAAAAAATTAAATGTGACCTTTAAAAGTGCTTATAAAATAAGGGTTTTGATAAATGATAACCTTTAAAAGTGATTTATAATAATACATAAGTATTATAATATAAATGCTTTGAAAGGGTCGTTTATAAGTGTTTTATTTTTTTTAACAAAGCGCTCCTAAATGTTATTTATAAATTTTTTTTATTCAACGTGTTTTTCTTATTTTTAGTCATATAGCAGATCTAAAATCTCGTACTCCACATTCGACTCCTCTCAAAACCCTTCACGCTTTGGTGCTCTCCATTCCCGCCTTCCAACTTCTCCTCCATGACCGCAGTCAATACTCGTAGGAAACTGCCCTTTGCCACGCCGAGAAGCCCTTCGTCGTGTCTGTTGCAACATCGAGAGCTGTTCATCGCGTCCTGCTGTGTGTCGCCAAACCTGCGCCGAGATTGTCGCTGGAATCACAGATTGAAGGTCGCTGTCGTCCAGCTATTCGTTGTCGAACCTGCGCTGAGATCTGTTCGAAATCTGCATCACTGGAGCTATTCGAAATCACGTCATTGGAGCTATTGGAAGTCACGTTGTGTCGTCAAAATTGCAGAGAAGCCCATCGTCGTAAAGCTGTGCATCGTCGGAGATTTGAATCCTGCCTCCTTTCCCATCCAGTCGTGCGTAGCAGGTTTATTTTTAATTTTTAAAATTCATATAATTATATAGTTATGTTGATAAGTTGTTATATATATGTATTTATGTATTAATAATATAGGTTTAATGAGAATATTGGTTAAATTTTTATAATATTAAACTACTCTCATGTTAGTTAAAATTGAACTTGAAATTAATTATAATTGTTACATGATTGAGTTGTTATGTAAATGAATTTTGATGTGCTTATTTTAAAATTTAATTTATGTTAGTTAAGAAGTTGAATGTAGTTATTATTGAATTATGACTATAGTAGTATTAAGTTAATAGATAAACCTAAAATAAATTACAGTTGTTTGATAGATTTTTTATTTTATGCTCTGAAATTTTTCTTTGGATGAATTGATATACTAAATTATTGAATTTGATTATTTGATAGGTTTAACTTTTAAGGAAAACTCTACCAAATTTTTTATAAAAAAATGTTATAAGTCTTTGTCTTTTGAATTTTTATGACTATATTAATGATATGAATCATAAATGGACGTCGGCTAATCGATTGTCTAGAAAATATTGGAATGAGGTAGATGAGTTTATTGAGTTTGCATTTTCTTGTGATCAAAACTCCCATAAAATGTTGCTTTGAAAGATAAGTAAGGCCAATAGAATTAAAATATCATTTGGTATATAATGGGATTGATCCAATTTACACTGTTAGACCATGCATGGGAAGACAAGGAATTACACTAGTGATTGAAGGGATAGTATGAGCTGCACATCATTTGATCGTGATAGTGGATATA